AGTTTCTTTCGTAATATAGGCGCTAATTGCACTTTAAGTTAGCTAGTCGTTTTCGCATAAATAAATTAGTTTTTCTCAAGTTCAGAGCTTAGTCTTCCGTTAGTCATACAGTAGTTCGCTTTGAGCAGTTACTCCTGTTCATCTTATTTTCGCCTTTTGGCAATTTATATTCGTCCAGCAGTTTCGTAGAAATCGTAACAATGTAAGTATTGTCATTTCAAGTTTGTTCAGTTCGTTCAGTTTATTTCTTTCTTGTCACTTTTAGGTTCTCTCCTCGTGTACCGGTGCACAAGAGCCAAGACAAAAGACCAAACAATACACAATAGCTAACCGATAACTCCTAAACAAAGAAAGAACAATGGTAATTCCCTTGTGAACCGGTACACCAGGACAGAACCCACTTTTATTAGTCAATTGTTGTAATTTCGTATTCATTTATTGTTTAAAGTTTCAACCCACATAACGTCAACGTCATTCGTACCGAATAAATACGTATTTATCATCGTGGTGTTGTGAGGTTACGATTAGTACAGTTACGTATCGTTGAAAATTGTTTACGCGTCGCCGTCAAGGCATGGCAGCCCCCTTTGGATACGCCACTGAGCCAGATTCTCGACGAAGGTCAACCCGCGTGAGAAGACCGAATAGCGCGCTGGATTTAGAAGGAGTTTACCTGGAGAGACTACGAGCAAAGAACAACGAAAGGTCTGGTTTAGCGTCCAACGTTACCGTTCGAATTAAAGAGATCACCGGCTTGCTCGACGATGATGGGAATCTTATAATAATAATAATAATAATAATAATATAATAATAACGGTTTATTCACAGTATATCCACATAAAAAGGTGTGGCTGTTCATCTGTGAAGGCCTACGATACTAAAATTTAATATTAAAACTAATTTATAATGACTAACTAAATTGTAATAAAAACTATACATAAAAGTAAAGATGCAGAATATATTGGTTGGTGGTGGTGGTTGTTTCTATATTTTTACAAGGAAGACAAAGCGCGCGCCTTCAAGATCGCCTTGCAGAGCCTGCAGTATTCTGTAAAATCTGTGCAATTCCTTAAATTTGCTGGCAATTCGTTAAAAATCATGGCTGCTGAATGCTGAAAGGTGCCCTGTACAAATGGAACATAAAGCCTTGGAGCAACACTGGAACGGAGATGTCTAAGGGGTTTAACGACTTGCAAATTTAAATGGGAGGGCCAGTTATCAGAATACAGTGCTTTAAATATAGTCTTTAGTAGTGAGTAGTCCCTTAGCTCCAGGATAGGTAGCCAGCCAAGATCCAAAATGGTAGATATACTGTTTACATATTTACAAGTGATGAAACTAGCCATAGCGAACTGGAGCCTTTGTAGTCTAGCTGAGAGGAACTTTGGTAGTGGATAAAAAACAATGTCACAGTAGCTTATTTTAGACAAAATTAATGTTTCTACCAAATGTTTCCGAAGTTTAAAATTAGTAAAGTTCCTTATTTTTCTTAAGGTTCTCAGAGTCGCATAACAGGATTTAAGAATAGAATTGGTATGAAATTCCCATTCAAGAATTGAGTCAATGTGTACTCCCAGGAGTTTTGTAACATTTATACGTTCCAGTGGTTTACCGGAGATTTCTAATCCCAACTCCAGATTTCCGAGAGAGTGAACATGAGCCATCTGTGGAGTCGAGATAAGAATGGTCTTGGTTTTCTTAGAATTTAGAGCCAAGTTTGAATCATTTGACCAGGCGCCAAGGCCTGCCAGGGTTGCATTCATGCTTTCCGCTTGAGATGTGATCTGCGGTGTAGAACAGCTAGTGTATAATGTTGTATCGTCGGCATATTGGAAACTTTTGACTGTAGGTGGAAGAATATCTTGAAGATCCGCGACGTAGAGATTGAACAACATCGGTCCAAGGATTGAGCCTTGGGGGATTCCAAATTCGGAGAGCACAGGTGGTCAGATCTCGCCATCATCTACCACCTGACGTGGATGAAGACGAGTATCGGGTCGCCTCAGCCTACGAAAATAAAGCTCTAGCATGGCCCCCCATAAAACCAGAAGATGGTTCAGCTCACAGCAAGTTTGCTGTTTTCCTCTCGAGTTGTAAAAATGCTCTAGCGAACAGTCAATATTCATCGAAGTTTGACCAGCCAGGGAACATCCAGAGATTGGTATTCAAACTGCCGTTCAGCATGAGAGAGAGGTGGCGTCGCTGTGCAGATGACATTATGGAGGTAGAGTCAAGACCAGTAGAGTTTAGTGACCTCGTTACCTCTGTTGACCGTGAAGCAAGGATTGCTACTAATCCAGTGTTCGGGAACATCTCAGCCAACGCCCAACCCAGCTCCGATCAAAGGTCACGCAGAACGTCACAATTACCAGTTGGCCTCAAACCTTCTAAGCCGAAGACGTCGACCTTTGTCACCCAGGTTAAGGACAATAAAGACGCGAATTCAGAACAGTCTACTAGCAGCTACCCTACCTGCGATAGTGTTCAACCCCGTCCGTGTCCATTTTGCCAGAAGAACCACGCCCTAGAAGACTTGCATGTACTCAGATGGAAACCCTATCAAGAGCGTATCAAGTTTCTCTCTGCAAAGAGGCTCTGCTTTGGCTGTTTGTCTGATAAGCATGTCGCAAGAGTTTGCAATGAAAGGAAAACCTGTAAAATCCCTAACTGCATTCGAAAGCATCCCAACGTCGACTAATCGTGAGAAAATCACAGTAAATATTGGCGTCGGAACTGAAGGCAATACTGACACTCCTGTCTTGAATGCCATGACCCATACAGACAAGTGTCCCAAGCTTAAGAGCAGTAATGAAGAAGCCCCTCGTAGGACAGCTATGGCCGTTATCCCCGTTGAAGTCCGTTCGACGGCTAACGATCAGATAATCATCACGCACGCCTTTCTCGACAGTGGAAGTAGTGCCACCCTCTGTACAGAATCGTTAATGAGAAAATTTGGGGTTTAAAAATCAAAAGTGACGATTTCCTTGTCCACCTTGGTGAAAAAGTACAGTCCGATTGAAAGTTACCTCATCCGTGACCTGGTGGTGTCCGATCTAAATGAGAACAATTTTGTCAATCTTCCCGCGCTTTACACGAGACCCTAGATTCCGGTTGCTGAGGAAGATATTCCAACCCAGGAGGATGCGGATCAGTGGCCTCATCTAGATGGTGTTTTTACACTCCACCGTGATGCTGAGATCGGACTCCTAATTGGCAGTGACGTTCCGGAGGCGCTCGATCCGGTGAAGATAAGGCACAGTGAAAACGGTGGCCCCTATGCATCAAGAACGCGCATTGGTTGGGCAGTGAACGGTCCTTTAGTACATCGTCGCCATAGATCCCAGGTTGTAAGTTCCTTTGTCAAAGTTGACCACCAGCTTCAGCGCATGATAGAAAACTTTTACAATCGCGATTTTGCCGACTCCTTTGCTGATGATACGAAAGAGATGTCGCAAGAAGAACGCCGTTTCATGCAGAAAGTTAAGAAGATACAGCTAAAGGATGGGCATTACGAAATCCCTTTGCCTTTCACAAATAACGTGGTATTGGTCCTCAACAACAAGTCACAAGCTTTGGCGCGGATCGGTTGGTTGAAGAAAAAGTTGAAAAAGGATCACAGATTGTGTGGCGACTACAAGATATTCATAAAGAAATTGGTTGCTGCCAAGGGTTATGCACGTAAAGTTCCCACGATTCAGATGAATCCTAAGGAGGGCGACGCGTGGTATATACCTCACCATGGGGTCTACCATCCCCACAAGCCCGGGGAGATTAGAGTAGTTTTCGATTGTTTAGCAAAGTTCATGGGGTTATCACTGAATGGCATGTTAGACAAGGGACCCGACTTGACAAATTCACTTGTTGGGGTGCTGACAAGGTTTCGCGAAGATAGAGTTGCAGTTATGGCGGACATAGAAGCAATGCTCTATCAGGTCCGTGTTCCCGACCGCGACACCTCGTTTCTGCGCTTCCTTTGGTGGGACAACGGAAACATGGCTCGTGAAGTGCAAGAATATCAGATGCTGGTTCATCTGTTCGGCGCCATATCATTTCCGGCGTGCGCAAATTTCGCCCTTCGACGAACTGCAGAAGACAACAAGAGTTACTTCCCCCCGAAGTGGTAAACACCGTTAAGAAAAACTTTTATGTAGATAATTGCCTTAAGTCCTTGCCCTCGGTGACCGTTGCCATTGCCCATGTCAATAATCTGCAAGCTTTGCTTGCAAGAGGCAGTTTTGGGCTCACCAAATGGGTCAGCAATACTCGAGAAGTCCTCCAAGCCATTCCCGAGTCAGAACGTTGTACAGAGTTCAGGAAGCTTGTCTTCCACAAAGATGAATTGCCTGCCCAACGTGCGCTTGGTATGAAATGGAACGTGGAATCAGACACTTTCACCTTTGACATGTGCCTTAAACCGCGGCCCCCAACACGCAGAGGTATTTTGTCCGCAGTCAGCAGCGTTTTCGACCCCTTGGGCTTCATTGCACCTTCTGTATTGGTCGCTAAACAAATCCTGCAGAATCTTTGCCGCATCAAACTAGGATGGGACGAAGAACTTCCGCCCGAATACGCTTCAAGTTGGCGTAATTGGATGGACGATCTCCCAAGGCTTTCATTGTTTTCCGTCAACCGCTGCGTGCTACCCGAGGAGTTTGGTCCCGTGCTGTCCAGTCAACTCCATCATTTCTCCGATGCGTCGGAAGTTGCGTATGGATCAGTTTCTTATCTGCGTTTGGTTAACGGGGAAGAGAGAGTTCACTGTTCTTTCTTGTTTGCAAAGTCTCGCCTGGCTCCTTTGAAGTCCGTCTCTATTCCCCGTTTGGAGCTATCCGCTGCGATTCTATCCATCCGTCAAGACAAGATGCTTAAAAGAGAGATTGAAATGCCAATTAGCGACCCTTCTGTCTTTTGGACCGATAGTATGTCCGTACTTCGCTACGTGAAGAACGAGAACAGGCGTTTTCACACTTTTGTTGCTAATCGCATTGCGGTAATACGAGATGGCTCAAACCCCCGACCAATGGTATCATGTGGAGGGAACCATGAACCCTGGTGACCACACTTCGAGAGGAATATCAGCTGATTCTTTGTTGAACTGCGAGAAGTGGCTATTGGGGCCAGAGTTCCTATGGAATCCTATGCATCACTGGATAAAAGAGCTTGGTGCTTCAATTGCTATTCAGGACGAAGACCCGGAAGTTAAACCTAATCCAGTGGTGGAGTTCAACGAGAAGTTGTCAGCAGCAGCAGCAGTGGTGGTCTTGCCAATTTTATCAGATTATTTCCAGAGGTTCTCTTGCTGGTATCCCTTGAAGAAGTCGTTTGCTTGGATCTTGCGCTATCGAAACAATCTCCTGATGGCGGCTAAGAGTAGAAAAGGGAGCGCTCAGCCGAAGACCTTACAAGAGAAACATTCACCAATTACTCTTGAAGAAATGGAAAATGCCGAGAAAGCAACTCTGAAAAATGTCCAGCAAGAAGCCTTCCCCGAGGAGTTTAATGAGCTCAATAAATTCAGCGGTAGCAAACGCGTCAAACGTAGCAGTTGCCTTTTCAAACTGGACCCGATCTTGGAGGACGGTTTGTTGCGCGTGGGCGGAAGATTGGCTCGTGCTCGCTTCTCGTATAACGCAATGCATCAATTAATCCTGGCCAAAAAGAACCACGTCTCAAGCCTTACCATCGACTATTTTCACAAGCTTTCAGGTCATTTAGGAAGACATGTGTTGAGTATGATACGCCAGAAATACTGGATTATCCAAGGAAATTCCATGGTGGGAAGAGTCCTGACGAGTTGCTATAGCTGTCGCCGGCAAGAAGCACCCTTTTGCCAGCTGAAAATGGCTGATCTGCCGAACGATCGCTTGGTTCCCGACAAGCCACCATTCACGACAGTTGGAGTGGACTGTTTTGGCCCCTTTCAAGTGCGCCGTTCCAGAAGCCTCGTTAAAAGATTTGGTGTTATCTTTACATGCCTAACAGTTCGCGCGGTTCGTATTGAAGTGGCCCATAGCCTCGACACCGACTCATTCCTGCTCGCACTTAGAGGATTCATCCCAAGAAAAGGCCAGGTTAAAGAGATACGCTCGGACAACGGGTCAAACTTTACAAGCGGAGAGCGTGAGCTAAGTGAGTCGATCCAGGCCTGGAACCAGGACAAGATTTCAGATGAGATGTTACAAAGAAACGTCAAATGGAATTTCAATCCCCCGTGCGGCTCACACCACTGAGGCATTTGGGAGCGAAGCATTCGCTCAGTTAGAAGAATCCTTCGCGCCCTTCTCCAGGAGCAAACAACAGGCGATGAAGGTCTTAGCACCCTTATGTGTGAGGTGGAGAGTATTTTAAACAGCCGCCCTATCACTGTGGTCTCCAACGACCCCAGAGACCTAGAGCCTCTCACGCCGAGTCATCTGCTTTTGCTCAAATCTGATTCCCCCATGCCCCAAGGCGTTTTCCAAAAGGAAGATCTGTTCTCTCAGCGGAGATGGCGTCAAATCCAATATCTGTCCGATATATTCTGGAAGAGATGGTCTAAAGAGTACCTCCCGTTGCTACAGAGTCGACAGAAGTGGCTATATCCAGGCAGAAACCTCGAAGTTGGAGACGTTGTTTTAGTTTCTGCTGAGAACACCAGTCGGAATTCCAGGCCACTCGGAAGAGTTCAGGAGGTCTTTCCGGATAAAAAAGGATTCGTCCGGAAAGTGAAGGTCAACGTCAAGTCTTCCATTCTCGAGCGTCCCGTAGACAAGCTTGTGTTATTGGTAAAGAGAAAGGAATAAGAGATTGTCCAATGATGAAAGCACTGTTTTAGAATTTTCCGTGTTACTACAATTCCAGAGACATTGATGAGAAAGTTATAAGGTTTTTCTTATAAATAACATGTATGTTAAGAGTTTTTCGCTTAGACTCAAATTAGTAGATGTGTAAGTGCTTTGCAGACTCAGCACTTAGGGGCCGGCGTGTAGGGTCTTAGCGTGCGGAATGTTTTTTTTTTTCGTTTTTCTCATTCAATCAATCATTAGGGTGTCCTTTTGTGTTGTCGCTGTTTCTCGTCGTTCGTTAGTATTTTTTTTCGCCGGTTATCGCTCGTTAGTTAGCTTCTGTTGTTTCTATGTAACGTATCTTCGTTAATTAGTTTCTTTCGTAATATAGGCGCTAATTGCACTTTAAGTTAGTCAGTCGTTTTCGCATATATAAATTAGTTTTTTCAAGTTCAGAGTTTAGTCTTCCGTTAGTCATACAGTAGTTCGCTTTGAGCAGTTACTCCAGTTCATCTATTTTCGCCTTTTGGCAGTTTATATTCGTCCAGCAGTTTCGTAGAAATCGTAACAATGTAAGTATTGTCATTTCAAGTTTGTTCAGTTCGTTCAGTGTATTTCTTTCTTGTCACTTTTATTAGTCAATTGTTGTAATTTCGTATTCATTTATTGTTTNTTCTAATAATGGCAGTCACAACAACGCTGTGTCCACTGGCGACAAATTATGGCGGACTCATCCTATATACAATTTTATTTGGGATTTTTGATGGAGTGTTTGTGACTTTGATTCCTATCGTCACTGGAGATATCGTCGGCAGGAACAAGCTGTCATCAGCTCTCGGCTTTCTATATTTGGTATTCTCAATTCCTATAATGACAGGCTCACTTCTAGCAGGTACGTTTCTCCTCTAACCGTTTATATGTCTTGGTTCGACGTACAGGGAACCCACTGTACAAGTTCCATTCTTTTAATTTTTGAGCCTTTGATTTTCAAAAAAATAATACATCAAAACCTTAGCCCTTTCTTCGCAGAACAGGTTAGAGCTTTACCATATGTTTCAAGGTTGACCTTCATGAATGGGATTAGAATTCCAAATGTTTATCAGTGCTCTACCCTCGTGTAGGGTCTTAGCGTGCGGAATGTTTTTTTTCTGTTTTTCGTTTTTCTCATTCAATCAATCATTAGGGTGTCCTTTTGTGTTGTCGCTGTTACTCGTCGTTCGTTAGTATTTTTTTCGCTGGTTAGTTAGCTTCTGTTGTTTCTATGTCACGCATCTTCGTTAATTAGTTTCTTTCGTAATATAGGCGCTAATTGCACTTTAAGTTGGCTAGTCGTCTTCGCATCTATAAATTAGTTTTTCTCAAGTTCAGAGTTTAGTCACCGTTAGTCATACAGTAGTGCGCTTTGAGCAGTTACTCTAGTTTATCTTATTTTCGCCTTTTGGCAGTTTATATTCGTCCAGCAGTTTCGTAGAAATCGTAACAATGTAAGTATTGTCATTTCAAGTTTGTTCAGTTCGTTCAGTGTATTTCTTTCTTGTCACTTTTATTAGTCAATTGTTGTAATTTCGTATTCATTTATTGTTTCAATTTTCAATCCACATATCGTCAACATCATTCGTACCGAATAAATACGTCTTTATCATCGTGCTGTTGTGAGGTTACGATTACTGTAGTTACAGTGTATAGGGGAGCTTGCCATCCACTATACACAGCTTCCGTTACGCCACCCCTGCGGTCTTAGAATGGTATCTCCATCGATTCGATCGTAATTCAGCAATGTCTGAATGTAGGCTTTGTAATGATACATGTCGACATTTTCCGTTAACAGTACACCGTTGCATTTTACGTTAATCTCTTTAAACAACGAGTGCGCCAAATTATTGATCGGACATAACATCTCTTTCACATTATTTGCTCGCAAAGTCCAATTTCCGTCCACATCCGTTTTAAATCCAGCATCGATTTCTATAAAACCTCGACTCAAATCGATGCATTCCGATGTCTTTCTACGTATACCTCTATAGGAGTCAAACTCGATGTCTGAGGTGATACTTTGACGTATCTGTATTTGACCGCCGACAAATCTGTAGGAGGTATGGTAAACACATTAAGTGCCGGATTTACACTTGCCCCTTGAACCATCGACATGTTTCTACACTCAGCTCGTTCTTCTCTTTCTCTGCGATTTACTCCATCGGCCCCGTTTATATAGCGCTACATAACCTCCTTTTTGTACGGCCCTCCTTCTTTTTCTTTTTCTAGCCACCTTATAGTGTTGTTGTATCGTAGTAGTTCCCACTCCTATGTTCGCATCGCCCGGTTGCACTCTTGTCCTATGCAACCTCATGTTATTAATCGAAAATAGTATTCAGGCGATTCTGAATGCGTCTAGACACTTCTTTTTTCACGGCTTTCTTTGCACCTCTTTTAATAACTCTTAGAACTTCGCGAAGTGATTTAGTGCGTAATGCTTTACGGAATCCTCGTTTTAGCCATGTCTGTCTTCCAACCTTTTCCTTTTTGTGTGGGACGCCTTTTCTTGGTCACGCGGTATTTTCTTAACACGGTCATCACGGGATCTGCAGGAAACGATGACCCCACACCAATGAACGGGTCCCCCTTACGCACATGACTTACGCCAACCATTTTTTTTTTCACCCAAAAATATCGTCTAATCCTTTATGAACTCGTCTCGATACTTCTCACTTGACGACTTTCTTGACGCCTCGTTTAATACCGCGCGGTATTTCGCCTAACGAACGTTCACTCAATGTTCTTTTTAGCCCACGACCCCTTTCTTTAAGTAGTGTTTTGGCCATGTCTGTCTTCCAACCTTTACCTCGCTGAGGAATTGATTGGTAGTCGCCAAAAAACGGCGGACTCACCCAATCTTGTTGGCATCGCCACACCGACCCACCTCCTTGTTTGTTTGTAAGCACAGGACCGCGATGTTTGCTGGGTACGTAGACTTGAAATCTTCTCAAACTTCCTCCTCGCATTCTCTATTTCAAATCTTTTTTCATTATCCAACTATTGCATTTGCTCGGGTATCGTTTCCATATGACGTACAACCGATCTTTGGCGCGCTTTAATACTTTTTCCACGCGAAAATAAGTCTGTTCATTCACGTGAACTTTTTGTAAATCTCGTGCGTAAAAATGCCCTTTGAGTGGCGTTCCATCTAGTTCTTGCACTTTATAGGTGGACACTCTACCGGGCACTACTTTATACACTTCAAACACTTCCTCCGTCCATCCGGGTAAATATCCATTTTTAAACGGACGAAATTTCTTTTGCAAACGCACTTTGTCTTCCTTTTTAAACACAGCTTTCGACCGTGTATGCGGCCCGTACAGACACGACCACAATTTTGACACATTGTCTTCCGTGACATCCGACGGAGTCATGCCAATACTCCTGTGAGGTGTGTAACTATATTGCGTGACCAAATCTTGTATCACATCCACGTATTTAAAAGTATTTTTGGCCGTAAAATAACGATACAATTTTGATTTGAAGGTGCGAATAAATCGCTCGGCAATACTGGCTTTCGAATCTCCTCGCGTGACGAAATGATGATTCTCGTTTTTACGACACCACGCTTGAATGGTGGAATTGAAAAATTCTTTACCTTGGTCTGTTTGTATTCTAAAAGGTATTTGACCGGCTCGCGACACAATTTTCTTAAACGCTTCCGTCACGGTTTTTCCGGTCTTTTTCTTGATCGGCTCGACCCATGCCCTTTTCGATAAGACATCCACCACCACCAAAATATATCGGTACCCGCGGTTTTGCGATTTTAACGTTTGCACGTCAATCAGATCGGCCACCCATTGTTCGTCTATATTAAACACCACTACAGGTGCACTAATTCCACGTCGACGTACGAGTTTGTGTAAAGTATACGAGAGTTTTTTTTCTAATAATTTCCGGGCTTGTTTGACGGGTATTTTAGCTGCTCGCGCATATGTGGCTACATCTCCCAAACTTCCTACGACACCTGGGGTTTCGTAGTCGGGCAGGATTCTTTTTTTAGCCATCCTATCTTTTCAAACAATCGTAACAGTCCTAAGCGACACCACAATTTTATACAAGAGTAGAGTATCCAAGGGGACCTCAAATACCTTTCGTACATTTGGCGATATATCTTATAGCTATATCTACCACGATACGTTCTCATGAAACACATCAGATGGAAAATGCGTTGCGACACATCATAAGAATCGGGGCGAACGATCTAACGAAACAATTCCAATTCGTTTCCTTCGGGTGTCCACGCAAAATGTACTTTGTCTTGGGGAAATTCGACCATACGCTCGATTTTTTGGCATAAATAATCCACGCAACGATAATGACAGTACGTCCACATCTCGTATGCTGGCGACACACAAAATGACAACCGAGTCATCACACACATTATTTTTATTTGTCAGCATAGTATTCCATCATTTCTAAATCTGACTGGA